GCTATCAAAATCGGCTCTAGTCCTTCGAAAGTACTTTAAAAATACTGGAATTTGTTGGAACCATGGTAAGAGGTGTGTCGAAAGCGTCGCAATTGGTCCAGCTATACTACCACACTCGGAAAGTCGAAGATGTCAAGATCGGCTTTAGCCCTTGTGGTGGCTGCAGGATTGACCTTGGCTGGGTAGCTCAGTTGGTAGAGCAGCCACACTGGTGTGCAGGAGTCTCAGGGTTCAAATCCCAGGGGGAGCTTGGACTTTTTTCGCAGCCCAGCGATTGGTCAGCTCAACTACCACATTCGGAAAGTCCATGCTATCAAAATCGGCTCTAGTCCTTCGAAAGTACTTTAAAAATACTGGAATTTGTTGGAACCATGGTAAGAGGTGTGTCGAAAGCGTCGCAATTGGTCCAGCTATACTACCACACTCGGAAAGTCGAAGATGTCAAGATCGGCTTTAGCCCTTGTGGTGGCTGCAGGATTGACCTTGGCTGGGTAGCTCAGTTGGTAGAGCAGCCACACTGGTGTGCAGGAGTCTCAGGGTTCAAATCCCAGGGGGAGCTTGGACTTTTTTCGCAGCCCAGCGATTGGTCAGCTCAACTACCACATTCGGAAAGTCCATGCTATCAAAATCGGCTCTAGTCCTTCGAAAGTACTTTAAAAATACTGGAATTTGTTGGAACCATGGTAAGAGGTGTGTCGAAAGCGTCGCAATTGGTCCAGCTATACTGCCACACTCGGAAAGTCGATGATGTCAAGATCGGCTTTAGCCCTTGTGGTGGCTTACAGGGTTGACCATGGCTGGGTAGCTCAGTTGGTAGAGCAGCCACACTGGTGTGCAGAATTCTCCGTGTTCAAATCCCAGGGGGAGCCTGGACTTTTCTCGCAGCCCAGCGATTGGTCCAGCTCAACTACCACAATCGGAAAGTCCAAGCTATCACAATCGGCTCTAGTCCTTTGAAACTAATATAAAAATACTGGAATTTGTTAGAACCATGGTAAGAGGTGTTTCGAAAGCGTCGCGAATGGTCCAGCTCAACTACCACAATCGGAAAGTCCAAGCTATCAAAATCTGCTCTAGTTCTTCGAAAGTACTTTAAAAATACTGGAATTTGTTGGAACCATGGTAAGCGGTGTGTCGAAAGCGTCGCAATTGGTCCAGCTATACTACCACACTCGGAAAATCGATGATGTCAAGATCGGCTTAAGCCCTTGTGGTGGCTGCTGGGGGTTGGTCCTGGCTCTGTAGCTCGGTTGGTAGAGTACCCGCACTGTGTGCAAGAGTTTCCTGGTTAGAATCCCATGGGGAGCCTGGACTTTTCTCGCAGCCTAGCGATTGGTCCAGCTCAACTACCACAATCGAAAAGTCCAAGCTATCAAAATCGGCTCTAGTCCTTTGAAAGTAATTTAAAAATACTGGAATTTGTTGGAACCATGGAAAGCAGTGTGTTGAAAGCGTCGCGATTGGTCCAGCTCTACTATCACACTTGGAAAGTCAATTAAAGATGTCAAGATCGGCTTTAGCCCTTCCGGTGACATCCAGAGTTAGCCTTGGTTGGGTAGCTCAGTTGGTAGAGCACCCACACCGGTGTGCAAGAGTCTCCTGGTTCAAATCCCAGTGGGATCATTCAGTTTCCTTCCCCCCCCCCACCCCACCCACCACCACCACCACCACCACCAATCACATCTATTAATTTCGGTGAGTGTAAAGCGTTGAGATCGGTCCAGGTTCATAAGTAATAACCGGTATTGTCGTCGATATGCGGCATAGTTTAAACTTTATTCTTTAATGCCAGACCGGTGGCTGTGTCAACATATTGGTACAGATAAATAGTGTAAGCGCGGCCAATTGTTTCAAATTCTAGGAGGGGGTTGACCTTGACAAATCAATGGGAATTAGAGCTTCTAGCATTAATGGGGTGGGGGATTTCTGTTTACCCGACTGTTTGTTTACATCGACTCTCCTCAAGAAGGAGTCCGAGTCTGCGCAGATGCGTTTCCGGTGCATTTCCAATATTTTCAGACGACACGAAAATGCTGCATGTTGATTATCTTGGTAAGTAGCATACGTGTTTATTATTTGCGAAAGATTTTCACAAGTCTATTGCTCTGCTTATTTGCGTGATTGTGCGATTGTGTGTGAGTTCGTGGTCGAATTTCTGTCCGGTGATAGAGGCCGCTATATAAGAGATTTTCGCCTCAAAATTTTCCGTTTTTAGATCTACAGAGGTAATTGCTAGAATGAACTGATTTTCTTCAGTACAAGTACAGTATATATTACAAAGATTGTTTGAAATATGTTTATATGTCACAATTTCAGGTTTGATTGACGGGAACAAAGTCGGCATATACACTGATATGATCGACAAAGAGCTGACCGCATCACTAGCTGCTAGCATGGTACATGTATAAATGAAACGCCAAGGTAGGGAAACTGTGTTTGTACTGCTACTGTTCATGACTTTTCATATATTACACAATCATAATTGTTCCATGTTGTTTTTCCCCATCTTCCCATAGCTGTTGGTATCCTATTAGACTTGCACTTTTATTATGTACATACATGGTGTTTACTTTTGCCATCATCTTGTTGCTGTTGTCATCACGATGCACTTTCAGAGATGACATGATAAGTGGAAAACCATTTGACCCATTGTCTTCAAATTTACAGGACTGATGAATATTAGGAAAATATAGATCCAGTTCAAAAAACGGTTTGATTGGACCAGTTTTAAATTAAGTTTAATTTTTTCAGTTTGTATAATACTACATGTATATGTAATTTAGATGACACATTAAGGGTATTGTAAGCCTTTAGTGTCATCCAGACACCAAAAAGGAGTTTTTTCCTGCATCTAATTACTCAACTATTTGTATCTTTTGTGTGTAAATCTCTTCTAGTAGATGTACATAATCATGGTAGATAACATTATTTAACATTTTGTTGGATCAGTGGGAGCATTAAAGTGGAATTACCTGGCTAACGAAGTAAAACCGTGGAAGTGATTTGCTTTTTGGTTTTACTTTGTTGTATTTTTGATATGCTGTATGGTATGTGATGGTAAACTAGAATCAATGTTAATTCTCCAAAGGATTGGCAGGCCCATAGCCGGGGGGGGGGGGGGGGGGGGGGGGGTCAAAAGAACCACCCGTTTTGTCAGGAAGAGGTCCATTTTGGAAAAAATTTTACCTAGGTACACATAAGTTTCATTGAAGTTTCATAAGTTTCATTGAATGAAGTGCCTAGAGTTTGAACTTCAAAATAATTATGTTTTATTTAAGATTGAAGAAACTAAAGCAAACAAGACCAGGTGTAGATGCAATAACTGTACGATTTATATTGTAGGTAGGAGATTGTATGTTGACATTTTGTAATGAATATTTAAAAAGAACAAAATCATTAAATGATGCAAATGGTCAGGATAAATTTTTATAGGTAGCAGAATGCCCTTTTTGTCAGTTTCAAGAGACACAATAGCCAGACAGATTAGAACATTGGTGTACCAATTCACTAGTGGGCTAGATTTGGTCTTAAAGTGCAATTCAAGTTCACAAGTGATCTTACACTATCTTAATCATTATAGCAGTAGTCTTAAAATGGACTGAATCTGCTTTTAAGGTAAAAAATGATCTGACATCTATTTAAGTGGTCAAGCAGTTTCATCCCCTCACAATGGGGATACCTCCCCTCAAAATAGAGGACACCTCTGCTCACAATAGGAGAATGTGTAAAGCCTGCCGCACACAGAACAATTTTTCGCCAGCTCACAAAAGTCGGCCGCTTGGTCATCCTGGATGAGATCAGTACACACACATGACAAGCTGTCGCAACAAAGCGCCGACTGGTGTGGTGAAAATGACATAGTTATTATCTCGTCCGCGAGGTGGGGCGTTGTTTAATCAGGAAAAGTTTCTGTAGGCCTATTTATATTTTATTTCTGATATTGTAATGATAAGAGTTAAAATTAAATGTAAGAGTATAACAAGATTACTTTAATTAATTTAATTGAAAAATGAGCAAATTGAAATGCCCATATTTTCTAAATCAACGCAATACTCATAGACCATAAAAATACAGCCTATAGGATGACAACAGTTTGTCAGTTTAGACAGATTTAGTCGCCTCGATGCAGCGTTAAATGGTTAATGACGCTGAAAATTAAAAAAAAAACTAATACTAATAGAAAATTATAGGGCCTTCCATCATACTGAATTGAATTGGATTCTGACATGGGCACGTGATATCAGAGGACGCAACCATTGGCCGAAGATAATGATCAGCGTGACAAATTGTCTTAGGAAAGCGCACACACTACAGTACGATGTTTAAATAGTGTGGTTTCATTCAACCTGAGCCACAGCAGTGACTGCAAAAAAGGCAGCATGAATTTCAATTGATAACACTTTAAAAGCAGCTGGATTGCTTTAAAAAAAGACCAAGTATTGTAAATTATAATGGCAAAGAATTTTCAGAAGCAGTTTTAAATACTTAGATAAGGTATGTTGAACTATTCAATTGAGCTATAATTGCTCTCATAATTACCAGCAAAGGTATGTGCTATGAGTGTGCATGTGTTCTCGCCTAAAACAGGGATTTTGTACGGCCTCATTTGTGTGGAAATGAAATAGAATAAAATAATTAAATGAAATTCATTGAAATTTGATTAGAGTTCTATGGAGTTTCTAATTCAAATGAGAGGTAATTAGCCCACCCACCTCCCCTTCTTCCATAACAAAAGGGTGGAGTACCTGTTTACATATTTAGATATGTATAACTGTATATAATGTGTTGATGTTATTATGTGTCTTAGATAACATTAAGCATTGATTTCACTTGCTTGTAGTCACCATATTTCTACTTTAATGTATCTTTTATGATCAAATACAGCTACATATTTCATGTTTTTCTTATTAATTCTGTTCGAAGCATCTGTCAGTCAGATGACTTATTTTTCAGATATTTAAAATTAATCAAATAATCAGCCATTCTGTGTATCTTTGTAGAAGCACAGTCATACCCTGAGAGTTGGTATTGTCCACAACCCCCGCAGTCCCAGTACCAAGTTGTATGAAGGCAGCCAGATTCCACTGGCCATCCACACAGTACTGGGAACTCGGGTCCCACACACTGCCAGGAGCTTTGTCACCTATCTGCTGAAAGAGGACAACATACATGCCATACTGGAAGGGACAAAGTCACTCAGTGACTTGGAAGTTCGTGTAAGCATCTCTCCCTGTCTCTCTCTCTTTCTCTCTCTCTCTCTCTCTCTCTCTCATGTGGTTGTTTGAATGGTTACTGTTACCACCATCCATTACTCACTAAAGGTCATATGGGGTTTGTAGGTCTTTTAACAAAGGTCTTTTAAAAAAGAACAAAGGTCTTTTAAGAAAGGTCTTTTAAAAAAGAAAAGACATACAGTCATTTGCCAAATACAGAATTTTATGCTGTAACAAAGTCACAAAACTCTGCAACTGGTGATCTTACAAAATATGACAACACACTGGTTTAAAATCATGTTGAAGTCACAATATGCCACCAGTACTATATTCCATAATACATTTGATGCCATTTAGATTTAACCCTCAATCACCTTTCAGGGGCCTCGCAGGCCCGGACCCATGTATCTTTTGCTCTCTCTTCGTTTGCATGAGGTTTTGAGCCTGTTCCTTTCATGTAATGCTCAAGCAACTTATACCCCATCAGTGGATAAATAATTAGTTTTGAAATGATTTACAACATATGTAGAAATTAACTTTTCCAAAAGTTAGTCCCATTTCCTGGAAACCGGGCCTCTTAGGCCCGGTCGCTTGATAATTTTACTTCCACATGGGATAAATAAGTCCATGTTACCTCAAATAGCTTTGCTATAAAATGTTTTACACAAGCAATATCATGTGTGCTATGACTATCAGTATGGTCAATGAAATCTGCCTGTGAAAGATTCAAGACCTGGAGAAATTATTATTTATGAGTAATCGGTCACCTGATATGCAGATATCAGTTTAAATCTATCATTATTAGATACCTGATAGACTGCGCTACCTTTGCGAAACTTTCCATTTTGAGAAAAAAAATGTTTTTCTGCATTTTCCATACACAGTGTATACTCATGCACCCAGGTGGAGGTAAAGGGAGCAAGGGACTGGTGTAACATGAAAATCTGACTCCCCCAGTCAGATTTTCAT